ATTTGCTGAGCCCCTTCACCAGGATCACACTCAGTCCCCCAGGGCTTGGGAAGCCACATCTGCAGCTCCCACCCAGCTCCCCTTGGTAGAAGTGACTCTCATTCCACTGAGTTTGTCTTCCTGAGAAAGAGGGACACTGCTTGGCTTCACACTGATGTTCCTTGCTTCTCAGTCATTAAATTGAAAAAAATGTGAAGTAGAAATTTGCTTCTAAAATAGAGCTGTCTTCCTTAGGAATTTGCTTCAGTGGGGACTGTGAGATATTCTCTCTGTAATGATTTATATTACAAAAATAGCTCTGTCCTATGTCTGCAAACAGTTAGAAATGTGAGCCTGGAAAAGCAATCTAGCAGCTAACTCCTCAGCCCTAGAGCTTAAATAAACCAGTCATAAACAAAATGAATTTCAAAAGCAACTGAAGAACTAAACTTCCCTATAAATACAATGTCCACTCCTCGGAAGTCTGAAAATACTCTAGGCTTTTTAGCCTGACCCAAAGCCTGCTGTATCCCGGATTTTCTGCCCCCGAAGCAGGGAGTGAGCTGCAGAGCAGCAGTGTCAGTGGCTGTGCTGAGCCGGGGGACCCCGAGCCACAGGTCACAGCTCCCATCTCCCCTGCAAAATGCGTCTTTGAAAGAGCACAGCCTCAAATTCCTGTTTATCCATCTGCCCCAGCAGCCCCTTCAGCAGCTCTGCTGGTGACAGTCGCTCGCACAAGTGACACTGTGAGGCCACCCCAGTGCTGGTCAGAGCTGGGATGGAGCATGACCTTACTGGTGGCAGCTCCTCCAGGGACAGCTTTGCTTTGAGCAGGAACTCGGATAACACACGGTGCTGGCTTCCTCGGAGCCTGCATGCCCTTTGGCTGTGGTTTTTATCTCTGTTTACTGTTGGAAAAAGCTTTAGCAGATTATGCTGTGTCATTCAGTTCCCTGCCAGGGTGTATGTTACAGAAACTATAAAGTGTGTGAGTGAAAAAAAAAAGTAGCTGTAATTTTTTGTGGCACAGGCAAGGTCATTATAAATTATATGAGGCAATGAGGATGTGAGGATCTTAGATCAAATTTAACTGCTTTATCTGGAGACTTAAGAAAAGAGAAAAATGTGCTTTTTACTGATATTACCAATTAGGGAGCTGCCAGGTGGCCGTTTAATAACCCAGATGTGCTACAGGATGCAGCATCAGCAGAGGCTGTCTGTGCAGTGAAGCAGAGGAGACTTTTCCAGGGCACAGCACCAGGCAGCTCCTCCTGGCTATGGGTGTGACTTGTGTCCAGGAGATGTGACAGGAGGGGACCCTGGGGTGGGAAATGCCAATCCATAAAGGGATAAGAAAGAGCTTAGGAAAATTGCAGAAAAGAAGGAGGGAAATGCAATGAAATGTACAGAGCAGCTGGCCCCTGGCAGTGGTGTCCTGACCACATCACGGGTGTCCGTGGTGCTGCTGGGCTGATTTAGAGGCAGCTGAGACCAAAGGCTGGGTGAGTCATGGAAATGGGCTGTGGCACCTTCCCCTTCTGTCACTAGCTGGAATCTGTGTCCGTCACACTGATGTCAGCCCAGTTCCTGCTGGAAACTGCATCATCACTGGCACAGGATCAGCTGCTGTGACTCTGTCATGCCTCAAGGGACCAGAGCCTGAGACAGAGGCGCTGGAGCCCAGGCTGCTTGCTGATCCCTGAAGTACACCAGGAATGATGTAGGAGAAGGGGGTAACCTTTCACCACAGACTGAGCTGTCTGGGCATGATGCCCAGTGAGAATTTGGGAGAAAGGACTGAAGGGAGCAGCACGTGAGCCTGGGAGGCAGCCAGCAGGGTTGAGCTTGCAGCTTTGCCATCAGCAGGAGGCACAGAGCTCAGCTCAGCTCACTTCAGGCACTCCCTGCCACGGAGTCAGTCACAGAGCTAGAATAAATACAGGTCCCCATGGCAAAGCCACAGCTAATCCTTGCTGCTGACAGACTGGGAGGGGCGACCTCTCCTGGGTTGTAGGAAGCAGTCCTGCTCCTGGTTGCCCAGAACTTCTTGAATAAAACCTCCTGGACTTGCCTCTTCAGAGTACAAATCCAAGGCAGAAAACAGCCTCGAAATCACACAAGGAAAGAAACTGCATTTCCATGAAGCCAGTAAATAGACAAATGTTGCTAGAGATGGTTCTGAAGAGTTAATTGCAGGTACTTTTATTGGAGGGATGCTGCTGCAAGGAAGTTAAGTCAATTCTGAAATGACAAGAGAAGCTGGACCTTTATCAGCTGCCAACAGCAGTGGGGAAGCACCAGCTACAGTGACTTGCCATTTGTAAAAAACATCTGGAGATAAGAAGCTTATTTTTTGGCAGAGGTAGCTGGCTTTTTTTTTTGGTAGTGGTAGCTGGCTATTCCAGCAGGCTCAAGTGGAGATAATAAGGATTTGGCAAAAGAACAGTAGAGGAAGACACCTCACCTTACCTTGTATAGCCTCTGTTCTTCTTGCTTGCCCCTTGCAGCAGAAAACACTGTCAACTGCCTCAGTGGGATTCAAATGAAAATGCTCTGAAATAGCCATCAGATTGCCTTCCTTTGCTTTCTTTACTTTTGCAGCATGATGCTCTTTTCTCTTAACTTTCAGGCACAAAGAGGCTGAAAGTCTTTGGGTAGGTTTGGGCATGGCATGGCACTTTGAATCCCAGCCTCCCTGGTTTGGTTTGTCTGAGAAGCTGCTGAACTGATTTGCTGTGCTGGAGGTAGATTTTGCTGCTTGCTGGGCTGGTTGTAACGACTCGAGTGCGTGCTTTGGATGTAGCTGATGTTATTCCCAGTGTGCATTAGTAAGAATAGAAATCTGCCATAAAATCATGTTCTGCAAAAGCAGTATTCATTTCCTCGTTTTCTGCTTTAAAAATTCTGCATTTGCAAGCCTCGCCATCTGTATCACAGCCATTACATGTGGGAAGTATGGAATGTGTCTTATCACACACAGAGCGTGCACAGCAAAGGACATCCAAAGGTTATGTTGTCATCATGTCAAATGGATCTGTTTATTCTGAGTGCTGTAGAAGCAGAGCTTAATCAGAGCATCAGCCATATGCAGATTTGAAATTAGATTTTACAATAACCACCTGTCTACTGTTTTGAATCCTTGTCATATTCCTTGGGTTAGAGCTATGCTTGCTTAGTGAATGTGTGTGCTGGGAGAAAATCATCTAAAAGCCTTCATGCCACGATGTGAAAAGCACTTAAATGCTTAATATGTATGAGTGTGCAAGGGGAGCACATGTACTTTATGGCTTTGTGCTACAAGCTGCTACCAAAGCACATGAAGGGGAAAAGAGGGCATTCCTTTCATGTAAAAATCAATAGTATTGGCAACTCCCCATATAAACTTCTTTTGCTCTTCTTTTTTGGCTCATGATTTTTATATGTGTCAGCCAAAAAAGTCACTGCGAAGTGATGCAGCATTTGATCTTTCTCTTCTGTAAGACTTTAAAGGAGTAAGTACAAACATGCACATAATGTTTGTGTGGTGCCTGCCACAGTTTTGTGACTCACAGCATTCTGCCTTTAAGGAGTCAAAAAAATCTGTCTGAAAGCTTAAGCCTCTCTCCTCATTATGTTGCAACATAAAAAAGAAAAAAAAAAGAAAATCTGTGCATTTGGTTATTGCAAGCTACATCAAGGCGGTGGTGAAAAGAGCAACAATAGTCAAAGTAAAGGTTGACATTTTAAACACTGGCACTTGGTAAGAAGTGGAATTAAAAAGAATTGCAGAGCAAAAATTGACAAATAGCTTGTACCACCACTTAATCATATGCTCAAAACTGCCTGAAACAAGTAAGCACTACAGGCTTTTTTCTTGCTTATCTCCACTGTGATAATTATTCTTCTAAAGCAGTAGCTGCTCTCCCTGGGGAAAAGAGAGTTCATTTTTTTTTAAATTCAGAGTATGGCCCTTCCCACGGAAGTCAACAGCAGTTTTTCATTGAATTCAACGAGAACTTAAAAGGGCCATTAAATGAGATGAGTAATGCAAGAGCTTTCCAAAGACATCCTGGCCCAGATGCTCCCTCCTTACCACAGGGAGCAGCAGTCACCAGTGTTCTTAGGCTGGCCAGTATCTGAAGCTGTAGTGTCCCCTTCTCCAGAGCAGACGTTTTCACCACTCACCACAGCAAACTGAAACGTGGTGAGTCAGAGCTGTTGGGAGTCAGGGAGGTGCCCTGACTCCAGCTGGGCTGAGGTGGAAGCTGCTGCCTCTATCCAGGGTTTAGCGTGAATCAATGCACCAGGAAGGTGCCCAGAAGTGCAGCCTGAGCTTCCCCCCAAGCCGAGGGCAGAAGCCTTTGTTTACACCAGGGTGCTGGGAAGCTCCAGTTTGTGTGGCACCGAGGTGCTGGTCAAGAGAATGGCTGAAAAGCTCCACTTTTCCTCTGCTTTCCCTTTCAAGAGTTTGACCTCAGGAATGTTTTGCTACTTGAGTTCTGCAGGTCCAGCCACCCCCGTGGTGGGATTTGCCCATTGCTGGCCCACGTTCCCTCCCACCCTGCCTCTGGCTGGACCCAACACATCGGGCAGGGACAGGATGCTCTCTGCGGTCTGCGGGTTAGAGCTCACTCCTCGCTCCAGCTCCTCGGCTCAGCTGGGGAAGGTGTGACTTTGTATGTTTTGACTTCGTTCATTCAAGCTCACAAAACAACCGCATCTGCCTCGAAACTCAGCCGTGCCTTCCCATCCAGCGGACTCCTCGCGGGCAAGCGCCGCTGTGAAATCCTCAGCCAGCCGCGGCCGCGCTCGCCCCTGCCCTCGCCTGCCCCGTCCCCTCCCGCGCCGCGTCCCGGCGCCCGGCAGGGCTTCTTGTCCCTGAATTTCCGCGCGGGGCCCTCTGGAGGTCAGTGTTCGCCCGCGCTGCGGCGGAACCTGTTGCGGGCCCGCGGAGGCTCCGCGGGCAGGGCCGGGCCGGGCGGGAGCCGCCCGCCCGCTCGGAGCGCC